GATGTGGAGGATGATTACAGGGATTTTGAAGGGGGGAAAGACAGTGACAAGTGGTCGTTCAGAAGTGAGACCTTGAAAGTGCCAGAGCAGCTGGATGGCTGGACTGTGTGGCAGCCACAGACCAAACGGGCAGCCAGTCGGCATGGTCTCACGTTTCTCTCCACAGCCCTGAGTGGCTTGTGGGGAATCGGTAAATAGTGGGTGTTAACGCGAGTTGGACTTGTGCCAGATGAGTGTGACGGGAGCCAGGGACAGAGGACTTACAGGTGTTTGGAAGGACTGATTACAATGTTGCGTGACCTTCAAAGTCTCTTGCTTGCAAACTCCCTAAAAATAGTTCTGAAAAACTAGGTACCCTCCTCGCAATTTTTTTTTAAGAAACATCTAGATCTCTCATTTTAAGTTTAAATGTAATACACTTTTTGACATCTGGCACATTTTGCTATGTCACTTTTTTAAAAAATGTAACTCTCAGTTCATTGGGAATGCTGTGACAATGCTATAGACTGGATGGCTCATACATAACAGCATTTCTCACAGTTCTGGGGGCTCGGAAGCCCACGAAGGAGGCACTGGCAGATTCGATGTGTGGTGAGAGCCCACTTCTTGGCTCATATATGGCCATCTTCTGGCTGTGCCCTCACACAGGGAGGGGCAAGGAGCCTCTTGGGTGTCTTTTATAAGGGCACTAATCCCGTTCACGAGGGCCCCACCCTCATGACCTGATCACCCCCCAAAGGCTTCCCACCCAAATGCTATCACACCGAGCATAAGGGTTCAATTTTGGCACTTTGCAGGGACACAAACATTCAGCCTATAGCTGTAACCAAATAATTTTAATACCAAGTAAATTTGGTACCTGCCATCACCCACTTAAAAATACATTTAAAAGTGCTTCTTAAATGGAGTTTTTACATATTTTCCTTTCTATTTAACCCTATGTTTCCAGTCCACTTGCTCTCCCTGGCAACTGAATTCTATAATATATTTTTGTATTCACCTTCACACATTTCTCTGTAACAAACATGTATATACACTGAAGTTTAATGTAATTTTTGTATTTCCTGTGAGCTTAAGACTCTAAGTTAAAATTTTTCTTCTAGATTAGTTGCTATTACAATTATTAGTAGTACACAATTAACCAATTTTCATATATTCAGACTTTATACCAAAACATAAATTTTAAAATTTGATAAATAACTATTAGACATATAAACATATTTTATTGAAAATGCTTCTCTTAATATGGTAAATGAGGACCTTTTTTCCAATTATTTATTTCATCCAAAGATGAATGTCATTTATTTCTAGATTAAGTTATAGAAAATACAGACCATTGATTATATTCTTTTCATTGCTATACATATGTGCTGAGAAACCTTTTCCTCATAACTAAACAGACAGAAATGGAAGGGGTTTATAGCAATGTCACTCAACTCTTTGAACTCCTGAGTTGAAAGGCAAAACAAGTCATAGAAAGATCTATCAGGAGAAATATGTTAATAATTTATCCACTGACAACTCAGTTTATTGAAAGCAAAGAATTGGAAATCCTCTGACTCACAGAGGGGTTTAGTATCCAATTGTTAGAATCATTTAGTTCCTTAATTTCTGGAAATTATACCAGAAATTCACCAATACCTATCTGAATGTGAATTACACGTGCTATTCTTTCACCTTGAGACACTTTGTTAATCCAAAATACTCAAAGAAATTTAGAAAAGTGAATATTACCAATTTCACTACACCTTTGTCAAAACAATAGGTTTGATGAAATGCTATTCAATCAGTTTTTAAAATTAAGCTTCCTTTTTTGAGGTAATTGTAGATCCGCATGCAGTTGTAAGAAGTAAAAAAGGGCGATACCCTCCACCTTTTATGGGTTCCACCTCTATGTTTTTAATACATTCTCATCAGCCCTAAGCTGCTGATTCAGCTCACTCGGTGTACAGGAAAGGTCTCCCGCGCGATCCAGCCGCAAAGCCAAGATCACTGTCAAACCCAGCAGCCACGTCAGACTCCATCGCTTTCACCAAGAGGTTGGCTTCACTTTTAAGTTGTGTCATCTATGTATTCTGAGGATATTGTTAGGATATCCTCACTGGAAACAAAGTGACAGGATATATTTTGTCAACTAGATTCCTTGCTTCTACAGAGAAGATTCAAACAGTGTAGACTTACTGCAATTATTTCATGCATTTTCTAATCAGTTATAATAAAAATAAGACAATTTCTTATTTGCAGTTTCTCATACTGTTTCTCATACTTATTTTGTGAGAATGCAGTGAAGTGGCTGGTTGAAATGACAAGTTTTTTATGACATGAGGAGCAAAGGGAAACACACAGCCCTGCTCGGGTAAGTGAATCGTGCACATGAATCAAGCTTTGTTTTCCTTCCATTTGGAATGTTTAAAGAAGAACTGATGTCAAATCAGGACTGGCAGGTAGCTAAGGCAGGAGGTGAGGGCAGCTGTAGGGCCACTGGTGTGGGGGTTTGATGGCGTTGCCTGGGAAGTCCTGGTGAGGTAGGAAGCAGAACGCAAAAAGAACAAGAGCATGAAGATGGGGAAAGAAATTTGTTTTTCAAAAAAAGGAAGAGAGAGAAAACAAGAGAAAAAGCAGATGGGAGTGTTTTCACATTACGGGGTGCAGGGTGCAGAAGCGCTGGACCAGAAGGTCTAACACATCTTCATGTAACCAGGTCTGTTCCTGCTCAAGTTTGTCGCTCGTGGCTGCGCGTGCGTTCCTGGGACGGGGGTGGGGGTGGGGGGCGGGCCGGTTCAGTTCTTTGCCAACCAATTGAACGGATTTATGAAGTTCAGACCACGAGGCGCTATTCAGGGCAAAGTGTGTCTACCTATCTGCACGGCCTATCAATGCAAGAAGTGAAAGCATGGTTACTATATTTGTAGTTTTTATGGTACCAATCCCCGAAATTTTTGAATTACATGTACTTTGTATACAAATACCTCCTTGAGCTTTTCTAAGACATTTTTAACATATGATTAAAAAGAGTTCACTCTGCAGTAGAAACCCTATTGGGTCCACTGCTGTTCCCTCCCCTGCCCTGCAGGGTTTGTGAAAAGTCTCCTGCTTTCTTATTCTGTGCGTATTTACTGTATGTAATAGTCTATTCATATTTACTGAAAGATTCAAGGTCTAATTCTACTTTCTTCTTCTCTTGATTTGAGAGCACATTTGCTGAAGACGCATATTTTCCCAGGCCATGGATTGCTGATTCATTCTCACCTGGCTGTCTGGGGTGACGGTGCCTGCGTGCCAACTGTCCACTCACCAGTCACAACACCTCTGACGAGGACCCCCTTCAAGGAAAGTCGCAAAGGAATATAGCAGATGTCTTTGGCTCAGAAACATTTCAGTAACGATCTTCTGCTTTTTTTACAGATGATCAACTCTAGAATAATGGTTGAACTACTATACTGCTGGGTTTTTAACTGCTTTTCCACAAGAGATAATATATTTTACTCATGCTCAAGGCATGTAGATTTTCCCAGTGGTATTTGAGGGTTATATTGAGCAGTGGACAGCAAAGCTGTATTGCCAGACCCTGGGAGTTCCCAGTACCAGACATCCCAGTATCAGCCTAAACGTTTCAGACCCCGTTAGCTCCCCTGAGCCTCCTCCTCCCCATTTCTGGCTAATTTCTTCAAAGTTGGCTTTTCTGTCCTAAAACTCCAAGTTGCCATTTTGCTGTTATGAAATGTAGCAAGGAAAACCTATCCTTGAGAAGTACCTAAGTGGCACATTATGAACGGCAACACTCCCGCAGAGCAATTTAAAATGATGAAAATCCTTTTCAAACATCCTTTTTAAAATTGCACATGGACTTCAGCCAGTCACAAGACAGAGATGTGGAGGATGCATTAAACTCCCCATCTGCTCTTCACATTGCTCATTGCTGATTTATAACCCCCAGTAAGTCATCTGGCCTCACAAACAGAGCTCATGGGCAAGGGCGGCACCCAGCTACGAGGTGCCCACCAGAGGAAAAGATGCGTCCGTGGCATTCATAGTTTTCTCCTACCTGCACCCTGACATGACTCACTGCTATTTCCAGAACAGTTCTACCCACTATTCTCAGAAACAAAACAAAACAAAACAAAAAAACCCAGAGGTATATTTTAGACTTTGAGAAAATAAATAAAGCTCTTTGGGGATAACTTCAGACTTCTGCTTTCATTAAATCAGCGTCAGTGCATCTTCTCTCCCTGCAAACACAGCAGCAGGTGTAAATTCGTTCTTTCCTGTGTCAAGTCTTGTGAAGAGAATCACTCCTCTTTCTGTTCTAGATTGTGTACCATTCACTGATAAGGTGAGACATAGAGTGTCTCCTTTTTCACAAGCCACGAGAGGGCATTGTATGTTGCAGCAGATAGAAGGAAGTCCAAGGGCGCTCACAGATAACCCCATGGAGGACACCTAATGTGTGGGCAATACAGTGAGCATCTTGCCCTGTCTCTTGAGCTTCACCCCTTAAGAGCTGATGCAAATGAGGTAACGGAAATTGTGCAAGGTCATAGGTCATGTGCTCGCCTCCTCCCTGCAGTGGGGGTGGGCGTGGAGAAGGTGAGAGTGGGACAGAGCCCACGTGGCTCCTCACTGAGCAGGGCACTGTGGGGAGGGTGGGCATTTTGATTGTCCAGTCTGAGACAGGCTCATAACCAAAAAAGTACCGGGAATTCTTTCATGTGCCCTGTTTGTTTGAAGCCAAACAAGGCACGCTTATATTCAGAGTAGCTACTTATATATGTCTGTCTGCCTAGTTGGACCATAATAAGCATTTTAGGGCAGAGACTTTTCTTTATTGTTATTTCCTTAATGCCTATGGTATTACTTGGCATACAGCAGATACTTCAAAAATGTGTGGTAAGTGTCATGGGACTTGTGGTCCAGGAAATTTTCCTTAGCATCAGATAACATAAATTTCCCTGTTTGGGAAGACCATGATTTAAATGAACAAAGAAACTCAAAGGACTTACTGACATCATGGAAGAGCGAAGGAAGAAGGGTGTTTATGACCTGCATTCTTCTCAGAGTCCTCACAGTTCCTTTCCGGGCCCAGATCTCCGAAACTGACGGGATGAGGACTGCTAGGAGAGAGACCCGTGCGTGAGAGAGAGAACGGGGCTTGGGAAGGGGGCATAACCGGGGGGCGGAGATGAAAGGGTCAAGGAGGGCGGGCAGAGGGTCGGTCCAGGTAGCAGCAGAAACAGAGCCCACGTTTCCCGATAACCTAGGAGGAAATTAAAGAGTGGACAGAGCAATGCAGATTGCCGCCTTGACGGCAGCAAGGAAGGAGAGATGGAGCTAATGTTTTTAAGCACTTGCTACAGGCAAGCCACTTTCCCCAGGGCCTTTAGCAAGGAGGCCTCAGGGTTAAGCCAAATGCCAGCACGCCTACCTGCAGCACCACTGAACATGGGCACAACTCCCCTGATCCCAGGGGCTGCGCCCAGGTAGACAGGGGCAGGTTTAAATGGTCACTGAGCCTTGGGAGCCTCCTTCTCTTTGATTTGCACGATTTGCTTTCCTGGCCACAGGTGGACAGGTCTCAGCAGGGCAGCTGCCAGAGGAAAAGGCGGTCATCACGCATGCTTCACAGGGGTTCCTCTCTTCTCTGGCCAAGCAGGCCGGATTGCCAACCGGGCTGCAGAATGTCGGAGTGGAAAAGACCTCAGACCTCAGATAATGCAAGTCTATCATTTTCCAGTTGAAAAGCAGGAATCCAGAGGCGCTGGGTGAAGGTCACAGGGCTGACATCGCACCCCTTGAAGGCTCCCTCTCCAGAGTTCTTTTAAATCAACGACTCTAAGCAAGCCAGTTACCCAGGAGGGCCTTTTATGACTGCCTGATTCCTTGGCAGTCGTAGGAACGATCCCACTCAATCACCCGATGATCCGGCAGAGGCTTCGCAGGGAAGGGCGGGCAGCGCGGACGCAGAGCTCTCCGAGGCGGAGGTCACCCCAGGACAGGGCGATGCCCTCGCGCAGCCCAGAGCCCGGCCTGCTTCTGTGCACCGCGGCCCCGGGTTCGCAGCGGGGCTGCGAGGGGCTCATAAAAGATGGAAAAGGGGGAGCAACTTGGCAGAAAGTAAACGCTTTCGCCTGCAGAGAGAGGTCCCTGGGCCCCCAAACGAACTGCACCCGACCTCCCCCCCACCCCCCGCACACACACACACAAGTTAACGGCACGCACCTGCCCTCCCCAGATGGGCTCGCCGCGCGCACGCCTCCTCGGCCTCCGGGATTTTGCAGCGCGGGCGCGAGCTCCTCCCTGACTCCCGGCGCCCCGCGCCCGCCATTGGCTGCGCGGACGGCAGGGGCGGAGGCCAGACGCGCGGAGCGGCCGAGCCCGGGCGGCCCCGCTGCGCCCCAGCCGTGCGCCCCAGCCGTGCACCCCGCACGCCCGCGGACCGCCTCGCTGGCGCCCGACCCGCAGGTCAGTGCGGGGCCCCCGACGCCGCCCGCGAGCGGGACCGGGGCCGGGGGCGCGGGAGCTGGGCTCGCCCTCTGCGGGCGGCTCCCCCAGGCCTGGGGCTCCCCGAGGTTGGGCTCCTTCCCTGGACACCCCAGGCTCCATCCCCACGCGGCCGGGCGGCCCCCGATCCGCGGGGAGGACTTCGCGGGGCTCCGCAGTCGGTGGCTTCGGAGTGGCCCGCTTATGTCCCGGACGCCGGGGACCGGGACGGTCTGCCTCGCGCGCGCCGGCAAAGATCGGGTCCTCCGTGCGGGTGTAGAAAGTTGCGCACGTGGCAGGGTTTTCGGGGCGTTCCGTCGGGGTGTCTGGGGCCGGCTGGCCCTCCCCGGGCCTCGGCGCGCACGGTGCCCGCGCTGCCCGGCACGGTGGCCCCAGGGCGGGAGCGCTGCGCTCTCGCCGAGCACCCGGGCTCCCAGCGGGCGCTGCCCGCGGTCCCGGGACCCTCGCAGGGGGCCGCCCCAGGGCCTCCCCTTCTCCCGGGGCTGCGGAGTCGCTGGAAGCGCGCGCTGCCTGTCGGGCGCGTGGATCCCGGGCGCAGGGAGCTCGGGGTGCGGAGGGAGGCGGGGGACGTGCCCTCCGGGCGGCAGGAGGACCGTTCCTTCGGTCGCCTTTCGGGGCCCGGTTCGTGCTTCCCGCCGCCGGGGCCCGGGGTGTGCTTGGTGTCAGACTCCGGAGACGGGGTCTGCGTCGTTACAGCCTTCCTCGCCTCTGCCCGTTCAATTCCCTCCGGAAAATTTTCTGCTCAAGTGAGTAAGTACTTGGGTTCTTTGTGGTAGTTAATGGGATCCGATGGCTCCGGTCGCCCCAAAACCGGTGGTACTTGGCTGGGTGCACGGGGCAGGTGCAAAGGGCGTGGAACCGGCTTCGATTAGGTTCCCCCCCAACCCCCCGCAAGAGGTTTCTCCCCGGGGTTTTCACTTTAGATTTTCCAGATTCATTGTCAGACAAAAGCCTATCAACAGGAAAAGAGGCAAGATAAGTGATAGTTTTTTCTTAAAGGTTTACGTCTTAATGCAGTCTCACAGCCCAATGCACCTTCCTTAAAAAAAAAAAAAAAAAAGAATAGTTAATTAGCTTAAATTATGCAACTTACCTGAGTATTTTAGCTTATTTGTGATCTAACTCCTAGAGATTCTCTAATTATTTTGTGACTGAAATGCTTCATTTTGCTAAGTATAGAGGCGTCTTGTTCCCCACCCCCACCCTCACACAACCAGGTTTTGTAATCACCACGTAGTTGATGTGTAACAGATGATTTTTTGGAGTGAGTGTCAATGAGACGGCCTTGTAACTGAGTTGCGTGGACAACACTCCCAGGGGGCATCTCCTAGTCTAAGATGCTGGGCGCTGTGGGCACGGGGAACCCTCTGCCTACACCACAAGGTTCTGGGAATGCAGAGTCCAAGACAATGGGTGGGGTAGCCCATTTTTGTGCTTTGCGTTTGAGGCTTATTACTTATTTGGCCGATTTATTTATTATTTTTGATTTCTCTGCATAAGGCAAAGTGCTTTGAATAGCTCAGCCCACCCCCATGGCTCTCATTAAAGAAGCCTCAGGACTGGTAAGTCCGTTCCATTCTCCCTGCTGTTGGTCAGCTCAGTTCAACAGATTTTACTGGATGTCTGAGATGCGCACACGCTTGTCAGGAGCTGAGATAAATAATGGTATGATGGCGTGTGGCATCAAGTCCATCAGAGGGGTTTTTTTTGCAGGTTTCTTGAGATGTATGCATTTATTTATTTATTTATTTATTTATTTATTTTTAATAAGGGCAGTGACGGGTGGCAGAGTTGATTGGTGAGAATGACTAACCATACTAATTAGTAAGTAAACCTGGAGTCAGACATTTATACTAAGAATGAAAGATTAACCCATCGCAAGCAAAATTTTTGATTTGGCCTCCATTCTAGATCCACTCTCAGCCCATTTGATTATCCCTTTTTCTCTGGACCTACTCTTCTCCCTGCATTTGTATTTTAATATCCTTTTTTTTTTTTTTTTTGCTGTTTTTAAAAGAGTTTCTAGAGTTTGTGTAAGCATTGTTGCATTTAAATAGTTATTAGGGAGGAAAAGTAAAATGATGGCTGAATTACTAGGTTTTACTCACTTGAGTTTCTTAAATAGTAACTTAAGACCCTGGGAAAATACATTTCTAAAATGCCCGTGACATCAGGCACTATGTAGATTCTGCTTTCCTGGCTCTTGGCACCCATGAGCCATTCAGTGAACATTTGTTAAATGAAACTAGAAGCCAAAAAGTAATGTTGCAGTAATCTTCAAATGGATATGTGTGGAGCATACTGTGTTATTATATTACCACATTAATAGAAGGTATCACAGGCTTAATTTTTATAGACTGTTTCATTACCATTCATAGTGACAGCTAAGAAAACAGTAAAACCTTTAGGTTGGTTAATGGAATTGGGACCCAGCAAAGGGGAAGCTCAGACTGAGTGTGTGAGTTGGCAGGATTCCTCTGGCCAACAGCTGTACCTACAGAAACCAAGCCAGAGGCTTAGTCCATGAGACGTCCTGTGGACCAGCCTTTGACTTAGAACTCAGGAAGTCCCTCCGTGCTCTCACTGCTCATTTCTGGTGCAGGGTAACAGCCTACTGAGCCAAGTTCTGGGGTCCCTTCAGCCCAGATTGTGATTTGTGGCAGATGCGTCCACGGGATCTAGTGTTCTGGGATGCTCAGTCTCATGACACAGAATGCCTCCTTCAGGAGTTCCCTATGAATAGGATCAAGCTCATGCTCAATTTGGAACCAAGAAATAGTCACTGTTTAGTCTATATTAAGTTTTGGTAGCGGCCACAACAAAGAAATTAAGTAGTCAAGTAGCCATATACAGCTTAATGTATCTCCATGCATGAAATGACACCATCTAGCCAAAACAGTGCCAGTATTTCAAAGCTCTGAATTCATATCAGGAACAGAATAGACTGTCATTGATATTTCTTCAGTTCCTAACTTAAAAATTCTCATATATTAAGTCACATTCAGATAGGTAATCAGTCAGTCTAGATTTTACAATTCATATTTTGGGCTTGATTATTGATGCAAATATTGTTAGAGACAATAGTGAAAGGGTCTGGACATGGTAAGCCTGTAATAGTTGTTAAACAGGGAAGCTTAAGGTAAGAGACAGGCATACGATTTTTGATGGGACCCAAAAGGCTAGGTGGCTGCAAGGCCCTGCTTCAAATTCCAGAAGACAGGAGGATGCCTTGAACCACAGTTAAAAACACTAAGGCAGTTCATTCAACACATAGATCCCCTCCTGAAGGGAAGCCAACACAGAGATAGGGGAAGCTTTCCTGATTAATTTGCCACAGCAGTTGGTTACTGATTAGAAGTGCCTGGTGATGTATCAACTGTTGCCAGTAAACTGGTTCGGTGATTATGTTCAGTTTCCATGTGACCAGGATCACAGCAGAAGGACCTACTCTTCTCATTTCTTAAACGGGACATTCCCCACACCCCGTAACAGGCAACTGGAACACAAAATGCAATGGAGCCCTGTTGGGCAGATTGACTCTCTGGCCTCATCTTGAGAGTCTTAAACTTTGAAAGAAAAGGTACAGATGAACCATTTCAAGGTCTGGATTAATTATATATAGTAAAAAAAAGAGTAGGAGAAAGGGAGAAGGAGAAAGATGAGTTCCAGGCTTAAAAACCAGCTGCATTTTCACTGCATATGTTATAATTAATTTTATTTCTATTTTCTAATGAAAATACATTCATTTCTCATGATTATAAAATGTATGTTCTTTGAATCAAAAATTCAAATATCAGAAATGCACAGAATTGAGTATAAACATGCCCATAATATCACCAGCTAACAAAAACATGTGAACACCTTCTGCCTTGTTTTGCATTTGCATACTTCTAACATGTGTTGTGCAAAAGATTAGCAATAGCATTGTTGACGGTTGTTTTACAAAAATGGCATCAGAGCATGTACTGTGGTGAAGCTACTTTCTGACTTAGCCATACACGAGCAGCGTCGTCCCCCATTGGAAAACATGATTCTTTTTACCACATCAGAATCCTCTAGTGTATGACTCTTCAATCACTTATTTGACTAATTGTTGGCTCATTACATCTTAGTACCTCCAGTGTTTAGCTACAGTATGTATCTTTGCACGTGCACCTCTTAAACTTACCTGATTCTTTTTCCCTCTCTGTAAATTCTTAGAATTTGTTATTTACATCATTAGCCTAAAATGCCATACATTGTTGGAGGAAAATGGAAGCACTCAACTCATCCAAAAGGTAGTAAACATTCCCCTCCATGACCCAGAATATCTTCCCTTTTGCCTGGCACATGATAGTTTTTGCCCTTAAAACAACCCACTTTTATTGATGTTTAATATTCACGTAGAAAAGTACACAAGTCTTAAGTATGTAATTTATGTTGTATGTGTTCAATTTGAACATAATTATGTAAATGGAACCCTGGTCAAAAAAAATTTTACCCAAACCCTCCTTCATGTCCGTGATATGCCTTGGGAATCTGTCACTCTAGCAGGTCCTCGTGAAAAGTCCTTGGTGAGCTTGGTGGCCTGGCTTTCCATTGACCAAGTGCTGGATGAAGGTGCCCACCCCTGAGGTTCACAGTGGGAAGTTACCGACGGGTTCTCAGACCCGCAGAGTGAGTCCTTGACGACCAAAGTCAGTCTAGTTCAGCTGGATGGGTCTCCAAGCCCTTTCATTCCGTCCTCTCTTTGTTGTCCCTGTCAGTTTTGGCTCGGATTTGTCCATTGGACCCTGTGTGGCACATTCTTTGATTCATATGATGAATTAACCTCTGGGTAACAGAAGAAACTGAATACTTCGTTCTTCATCCGATTTCCTCTTGTGGGCCACCCAGCTCAGCTCCAGGTAGAGAGCAGAACTGGAGTTGGAAGAGGGGTCCTGGGCTCCCAGCGTGTGGTTGCTGTTGCCAGCTATCCCCTT